ATAAACAGATTTACTGCCATTCTTTAAAGGGAGGCAGAAGACTGTATGTACATTCTCTGTCACTAAGCACCACATTTGATCTACTTCTAATATTAGTCAGGAACAAAGGTAGCATTTTCTTCTGGGCAATACGTTTCCTTAGAGCGCGAAGTAGCTCTAGCGAACAAAATGATGCGAGATACATTTGGCACTTTAGGTGCTTAAATGCCATGATAACCGTGGTGTGCTAAAATACTCCCTCTTTCCTGGACAAGTATCAGGAGGCGAACGGTAGACTGAAAATACGGCGTGTTCTTGGAAGAATTACGGGTTACTTAAGACTTTGAACTTCATGAAAAGAAGGGAACCGCAAAACATTGCCCATAATGAAAGTGTAAGGATGACTAATATTCGAAACAAAAGTTATAAACTTTTCTTTCCATCCGTTTTTAAGAAACTATATGTTTCTGAAGAACAAATAAGTACCAAGCTGCGTAAACAACTTGTTCAGTCCTGAAGTCCAGTACTGTATGATTCGTGTAGCTAAAACTTTTGCTGGAGCAAACGGGCTACAGTCAAAACAAATATAAATCGTAATCCAATCGTATCTGGCTGTAATTTGCAATTGACACAACGCCAGGAAAAAATTTCGCTGAACGAACAGAACTGACGCCGGTCAGTTCCTTTCTGTTGTTGTTTTCGTAGGGGAAAGTTATGTACGTGCAACGACAGGTGATTAATTATATGTCAGAGCAAATTACGATCACATGCACTCAAACACCGCCGCTATGTACGTCACCGGCGGCAAGATGAAATCAAATAAATACAAGTCTGTCTGTTAAGAATACTCTGAGGAGAAACAACTGCACCAGGATGGGGACAGCAGATTGCGTTTATTTCTGAAATGGTCATTAGAACACGTCATACTGGTCATTTTCTAGATAAATGACGACATAATCGGCTTATCACACACGGAAAAATATATTTTATTACGACTCAACGTCTGAAATGGGCTTTCTGAAAGGAATCGCTGAGTTCACGTGTGTCGTCATTGTTCGAATCGAGAAATTGAGAAGTCATGGCAGCAATGACTTGGACAAGCTGGTCTGTGAATACCTTCAGAAAGGCAGGCGACAACTACAACTTGCTCAAGCAACCCAGTCAAAGACCCTGGGAACAGCCCATGGCATCGACTCTATTTCAGACTGGAATTATCCAATGCCGAAGCACAAATGTTGGCAAAGGGTAGGAAACGTTGGAGACAACGAGCCTGACACTGTGCCTCTACCATTCTCAACGACAAGCGGTCATCAGAATTGATCGTACGATGTGCACAACTAACAAACGAACAATATATGACATGTCAAAATCATTCAAAGACACCGTCTTCAAGTAGTTGTATGAGCATTTGTAGCATATACCTTGGCTTGCAACGTGAAAGCGCCATAAAAGGGGTTTCCTAATGATGTAACGGGCACCATCATGGAAAAAATAAGGTCCTAAAGCATGTTATGTCTTTGAATACAATAGAACATGTTGCATGTTGCATGAACAGTAGGGTAATAGAATAATCATATTCGTCATCGTTGCTTTTCTTCTCGTCGTCTTCAAAACAACTACAGCTGCAGTGTATTTTGGCTAAGTTCGACTCAACTGCAGCAAACGAACTCATCAGCAACCGAAAACCACTATTTACCTTACCTTCCGTCTGTTTACTTCGTTTGTTCATGTCAACCATTGCACATGAAAACACCACGCTGCCCATCAGAGCAGAACTTCATGGAAAGGGAACAGGAGACTACACGCTACAGTATTTACTTAGTCATAGATGCGACTTTGAAAATGAAAACGCTGCTGACCACTAACCGCATGGAAACGAAGATTAACGCTGTACAGTAAGTATCTCGAAAAAAAGTACCATAAACAGTATCCATTACGAAGATCAAAGAGGGACATTGCGTAACACAATAAGTCATGAAACATCAGATACTGTTACAGAAGCACATACTGACGAATACATCGACTACCTAATTGTTCGGCGAGTTGCTTGCCGCGTTCATACGACACAACACGCTCCTCTTCCATGTCGCACTTATTGCCGACGAGTACTACTTGAGCATTGTCCCACGAATAGGTTTTGATCTGCGTACACCTGAAACGACAATACGATCGCAGCTGTATAAAGTTCGTCCCGTTATTACTCGCACAACACAATGCTATAAAACAACATATCGACCATCGAACAAAAATTACCAGTCTTGTACACTGTTGAACGATTCTTCGTTGGTGATGTCGTACATGAGGATGAATCCCATGGCACCGCGGTAATAGGCGGTCGTGATCGTACGGTACCGTTCCTGGCCGGCTGTGTCCTAAACGACAGCGAGTTTAAGGAAGCAAGCAAATAATGGCTCGCCAAGGTTCGATAGGTTCACATTACTCAAACCTCAGATCTACTGTTTAATAGAAGCACCAGATAACAGAACAAATGGCATCAACGTTATTCAAAAATAAATTTTTCATTTCTAATCGATAATGAGTAATAAGGTGTGAGAGTGATGGCCGACTTGGCTTGATAAAAGACCCTAAATAAGAATGCACATATATATTCAAAACTTTTCACTGCTGGAAACCGCGCACTTGCCGCAGACGGGTTGGAAGACGTTCCATCTTGGAAAACGTTGAAAAAATTTGCTGAGGCAGACCAATTTTCAGAGAAGAATAGTTGACCTTAACTGCAGCCGTGAATGTCGCCTAGTATCGATCTGATGCATCATTATTAACGGCCAGACATCATAAATTTGGCTTACTCTACTATGGAAACTTTGTTTACCTCAGATGACGATGACAATTAACAACACAGCAAATAAGCGGTGCAACATACTGCAAAAATATTTGTGATTACATTATTTTGGTCCTCGTAGCAAGAAACGTAAAACTAACAGTCTTCAGTTTGTGCTGAGATGCCATGCACCACCTGGACGAAAACCGTTAGATGCGACCCACTTCATACAAACTGCATTAACTTCAAGACAAGAGAACCAAGTTTGCTTCGAACAAAGTCATATCGAGTGAAATGCCGGAAGCTGCCTACCACCGACCGACTGACCTTAGCCTGTCGTGCATGTTTAAAACTTATCCATAGAGACGTGGTCCTGTGTCCCATGCACTACAAGCGCTTAAATACCATGGCGCCGTAGCCTGCTTAAATGGTCCCTCGAGGCTTCTAGAAGCAAGGGGGCGGGGCGGGGCGGGACAAGGGCGGTGCAATAACGCTGCCGGTGTAAAAGAAATAGATTTTTCTTTCTTTACACTGTGCGCTTTCGCCGTTTCAATCCGGTATCATTATTTTTAATGGGCGTATCTATAGTTCTTCATTATTATATTATGCTATGCATGAGCTATGTCAATTACGTTCCCGCGCAAATGACTGTATTCTTAAAATTAACAATGGAAAGATAACGTCACAGCGTCAATGAAACGAATGACTCCCCCACCCGCCCCAAGCAACTGGGTACAAAGGGACAGAGTAACACGCTAAGAAATTTGGTCATTGGAAAGATTAAGCACCACGTCAAAACAGCCCGGTGTAAGAACCAGTATGTTTGGCCCTACTTGAAACAAAATCTACACATTATCGCATCATGCCCAGTTTGCCAAAAGGTAGAATCTAAAACGGATAATTAATCTGATAACACGACAACAAACACCTGCTGTAAAAAGGTTATGAAGAAAACGTCGCAAAGACCGAATGAATCATCGTCAATCTGGCTGCAACTCTTGGGAAACGAATCATTACAGCTGTGTTGAGCCAGCAAGTACGATTGTGCCTGTAGACGTAGCACAAAACTATTACATCATCAAGTCAAGGGTGAGATTTCGGTTCCCCATGGAAAAGAGGGGAAATGCCCAAGTGCAGCGGTGCAAAGACAACCCAGGAACAGACTTTGCAAAGAGCAAATCCCTGTACCATGTTCTACAGTTCGACGGAAGGCCATAGAGTGACGTAATTAGTAGTAATATTAGTAATAGTACAGCTGCCTAAAAGCGATTAAATATCACGCAGGACGATCGTTGAAGTGGCAAGTCAGATGCAAGTTTCAAACAACGCACGTGATGCACCCGTTACTTCGCAAACATTAGCAACGTTATTCTGCTTGACATCGTAACAGAGAATAGTACACTTCTATATATACATGTATACATGATAAGTACATAACTATGCAAGTAAATAAACAATTAAAAAGGTAAGCCGATAAATAAAGAAGAAAATAAGTAAGCACGAAAGTAGATAGGGAAATATATGAATAAACAATTAACAATTATTAGTAGGCAAGCGAGGATTTGCAAATATAGTAAGTATGCAAATAATTAAGTAATTGTGGCATGTATGGATCTAAGTAAATAAGTCAGTAAGTAGGTAAGCCAGTAAACCGCACAACGAGCAGGTAAATTATCAGGTGAATTACTGTCAATATATCAATAATTAAGTAAGCAAGGAACAAAGTAAGAGATTGCGTAAGCACGAAAGTACAGATGATAAAACTTAGTAAAGCTTACGTTTCAGCTGATATTTTAGTGAAGTCGGGGCTTTACCTTGTAGATCCTGTCTCTTCCGCAAGAAGCGGCTGGGTTTTCCCTAAAAAGTTCGATATTCGTGCGAGGGATTTCTTCCTGTTTCGTCAATAGTCGCTTATTTATTCCTCTGCACCCATTTGCATTCAAAATCTGCAATCATCTCTTCCATTTGGGGAAAACGAGAACACTGGACCAAAGGTAAAAAATTTTTCGCCTCCTTCGCTAGAGAGATGCCTTTCAGACTGAGGATACGCTTACTGACTACCTGAATGATGATTGCTAATAAATTGCCAATTGGGTGCCTGCGGATCTTACTGAACAGGGATCTATCTGTAAGACTTTTCCTGTTGTCATTTTTCTGGTATCCGATTTTAAAGGTTAAGTACATTTAATAGGAAGTGCAGTTTATGTCTTCATGTCTCTTCCTCCTTCCATGCAGCTGTTATACGCTCCATGAGAGCGATCGTCAGGCCATGTTTCAAACGTTACTGAATTTCTGAACACTTACCGCTGATCAACCCCTGCCTTTGCCGTGACACCTCTCCCGAAGTAGACATATTCAGCTTTCTCATTTGTTATGTAGTCACTAATAAGCATCAGTCGCATGACCGTTGATTACATTTTTCGTCCACCGTTCATCTCTCCATTTGATGGCCGTTTTTGGACGTGGCGAGTTACTGTTGTCCCTGCAGTTTATTTGCATGCATTCTGCTGGTCGGTTCAGGTGGCAGCTCCATTGCACTGTTCCAAAAGAATGGAACAGCATCCTGGAGAACGCTAGGCAAGTATAGGAAATAAAAGAGCGGAACTGAGGGTTGTCCTAAATCCTACGGATAAACCCAGATAACTATATACTCAAAGTTCTTCATGTCCGTATCATGTTGTCATGTCCTTCATAAAATCACTTCGGCGGAAAGATTTTAAAAGGCTCAGTGATGCAGAACAGTTTCATCGAGTGTCCTTTTACAGCTGACAAAACAGCCTCCTTCTCGTGACTTCGAACTCAAGCCACAAATCTGGTTTCAATAAGGCGTCATCCAAACGGGTGTGGGACTAATACACTATGCTGGGCCCTTCGTGCATGTTATTCACTACAATGAAATACAGGATCGTTTCTAATCTTCCTCCCCATTGGACAGTTGTGGCGCAGTCGTCAATCCGCTTTAATCCATTTTAAAATCAAAGCAATAAATAAGCATTTATTTTAATAAAACATTTATGAAACTTAATTTCAAACCAGTGACTCGTTCTACTTAAAATTTTTTAGGTGACAGATCATTTAGATTACTTTAATGAATACTGGGGAATCACTTCAAAAATGACCTAATTGTCGCAGTAAATAAGTAGGCAAAGGAAGTGAACAAGCAAATAAGTATAAGTACATAAGTTAAGCAAGCGAGTCATTAAGTAGGTAACCAAGCAAACGAGGAAGTAATCAGGCTATCTGTAACAGATAAGGCAAGTAACCAAGGAAATGAGCCAAT